CCCCAAAACCCCAAAACCCCAAAACCCCAAAACCCCAAAACCCCTCAAAAGAATTAATAAATTGATAGTATATAATTAATATAATTTTTGAAAAGATGAAGAACGATGTTAATTCAATTCTCCAGTTAAAAAAGAGAGAGAAGAAGGCTGAAGCTAAAAGTAAACAGAAAAAGGAAAAGAAAAGGCCAGAAGGGGTAAATAGAGAGGTATTTTCCTTAACAAATGGTATACCTCCCCTTATGGGAACTCAAGAGGCCTCTGCAACTATCAAAGGAAAGAAAAGAGCGCTGAACTGGAAAGTAGACAAATGGGTCTGGACTCCTTTTTTCAACCCTGCTAGAGGCGACAATTTGAAGTTAAAACACTGGCAGAAAGACAAAAATAAAGATGAAGTGTACTCATTTGCTAAAATCAATCAGAAAATCGCTCTTGTCGATTTTGACGACGAGGAGTATGACAAGTACTTGAAAGATCTCAACGATGATTGGAATAAAGAAGAAACTGAGTATCTCTGGGAAATGTGTGAAAGATTTGACCTCAGATTTATTATCATCCATGACAGATACGATAAAAAGTACCAAAGAACAGTTGAAGAACTTAAAGATAGATACTACTCATGTGCCAAAAAGCTCCTTGAGGAAAGGGAGCAAGAAGATCACAACATTGTCAAAAAGCCTTTTAACTACGATTACGAAGTCAAGAGAAAATATTACCTTGAGAAACTTTATTTGAGGACAAAGCAGCAGAATGAGAAGGAAAAGCATATCATTGAATATATCAAAAAGCTTGACCAGAAGCTTAAAAAATATGAGAAAGAGGAGAAAAACCTAGCTAAAATCCTTGACGAAGACAAACAAGGAAACTTGTTGAGGAAGCAAGAAGATGATTCTGGTAAAGGTGAGAAAAAGGAAGGAGTATCTGGAGCGTACCTTAGATCGCAACATATTATTGCCCCAGTTCCAATGTCTGAGAAAAGTCAGAGCCAAATGGATATCATATTCAATGAAATGGAGTTGATTCCAAGCCAATTGAAGCCAACTGAGAAAGTACTGGAATTATTCACTGAGATCAAAAAGGAAATTATTAGGATGCTCTCCTTGCATAAGCACATAAAGAAGAGAAAGGAAGAAATTTCTATCTTGAACGACAAACTCAAAGATATGGAAGATTTTTGAAAAATTTCTGAGTTAAATAAGAGTGCTCCAGTAGGAGCAAGAAGCACTGGAGCAATGAGATATCCCCCTCCTCAAATTGGACAAGATCATGTACCTCCTTCAATGTCAAGAAACCCATCAGCTACATCTGAGAGGCTTCATCCTTCTGCTGCTAGACAATCAGTTCAGAAGTCCCCAAATAAGGATGCCAAATCAGCCAAAGGTGGGAAGAAGAGAAAGGCTGGTGGAGGAGGTCCTGGCAGTAAAAGATCAAGAAATTAACCAATATTTCAATTTTAAATTACCTAAAAGGGGTTTTGGGGTTTTGGGGTTTTGGGG